GAATAAAAACGAGCTGTGCCCAGCCGATCAAGCAATTCGTCAACTTGCGGCATTGGATATGCGTCAAATTTCGACACAGCATTTACTTTGCGGTAATCCACACATAATCAAACAGAGCCAAACTAAAACTATCAGGCTCGCCCAATCACTGTTGGATTCTTCTATTACCCCCATTTCGAGCATTACCTCTAATTCGGTCTGAACCACTTTTTTCTAGTGTTCAGGTAAACGATACGGCCGCCTGGCTCGGTCTCAATATGGTGCTGAATGAGATTCGTTCGACCAGGTAGGGGCGAGAACACATCGGCAAACTCTGCCTGCAACTTGGCCACATCAGTGAGCTGGGAGGGCGAGAGATGATCTCCTCCCGGGGCCAGAGCGAGAGATTGAGTTTTAGTGCTCACCTCTGGCCCGAGATCATCTTCTTCACTCACTACCATCACTGGCTCCGCCTCGCTCCATTTTTTCAGGAGGTTGAGGTGATAAATTTGACGTGCCCTGCTCCTATCGGTTCGTACAACCTCATAATCAAGATCTCCGACTTGCCGTGTGACCTCAAACAGTCCTTGCCACTTCGCAAGTAATTTAGAACTCGAACTTGGAAGTAATACAAGCACTTTATCTCCCGGTGCAAATTTTCGTAAGCTAGTTCCCATGTTGTACAGCCGGCTTTGTTTGTCCTGAGCCTATAACAAATTCTCCATAGATAGCCGCCCCAAAGTGTGGAGTTTTGTTCTCAGGTCTATTACATAATGAATTTCATTTTTACTTTGAGAAGGTTCGTCCTCCCAAGTTTCTCTCAGGACGTCCAAAATCCCTTGGGGCTGACGTCCATAAAGAAGCTCAAAAGGGGAAAACCCCGTGGAGGCTTGCGGGACCTCCCGCACAGCGAACAAGAGGGATTCCAACCATTTATCCCAATTTTTGGCGTCCTCGTGAACGAACTTACGAATCATGGTTTTTAAAGTGCGATTAAATCGTTCCACCAGTCCGTCCGTTTGTGGGTTATAAGACACTGGTGCGAATC